CTTGGCAAGCCATGCTGTGGCGGCGTCCCATATAAAGTGGAGGAAGATGGGCATGGATGTTAGCCCAGGGCCAGTCTTCCTCAGCAAAAAAAAAAAAGGGGGGGGGTGAGCATTGGCAGTGTTAGCACAGGGTTGATCTCCTCACAAAAAAAAATAAATGTAATTGTGGGGGGCTGGCCTGGTGGCGCAAGTGGTTAAGTGCTTGCACTCTGCTGTGGTGGCCCGGGGTTCGCTGGTTCAGATCCCCGGCGTGCACCGATGCACTGCTTGGCAAGTCATGCTGTGGAGGCGTCCCATATGAAGTGGAGGAAGATGGGCATGGATGTTAGCCCAGGGCCAGTCTTCCTCAGCAAAAAGAGGAGGATTGGCAGATGTTAGCACAGGGCTGATCTCCTCATACACACAAAAAAATGTAATTGTGTACTCTAGGTTCTAAAGAATTTCTGGAATCCAGTCTCTGTTGCTGACCCGTCTTGGCCTGAAACACAGAAGAGTTGAACATTTCAACACCCCCCATACTGAACTGTCAGTCATTATATTCTTCCACGGGCTCCATTATTTATAATTTCACAATATAATCTATTTTGTTTCATGTGAAACCTGTTTGCTAATTAAAACATCAATAAGGTAATGTATTCAAGCGATATTATTTTTGTGGTTTTCCTCATGTCTCCAATCTGTATTGGGTTCGTGGGGAACTCATTGCTCTTCATGTTATATATGTACACCTTCTTCACTCAATCTCACCTGAAAAAGCCCATAGATTTGATTTTCATACACCTGACATTGGTCAATGTATTTACCATTTTGTTCAGGTTGATACCAGATGTCATGTCATCCTTTGGAGTAAGACATTTTCTGGATGACGTTGGTTGTAAGGCAACTTTGTACACATACAGAGTTACTCGGGGTCTTTCCATCTGTACTACCTCCCTCCTGAGTGCATTTCAAGCCATCACTATCAGTCCCAGTACTTCTAAATGGACATGGCTTAAATCTAAAATGTCTACATGCATGTTTCCTTCTTTCCTTTTTTTCTGGATCGTCAACATGCTCATCTATATCCACATCATCAAAACTGTAGAAGCCAAAAACAATGTCACAATTACTGGTTCTGGGTATTCCCAACTATATTGTCAAGCTAAGCAGTTGGAACAGCAGTATTCAATAGCACTTTTTAGTGTTATGATGATTCGAGATCTCCTCTTTGTGGTCCTGATGATGTCATCCAGTATCTACATGGTGAATCTCCTCTATAAACACAGCCGGAGAGCCCAGCACGTGCATAGCTTCAGCCTCCCTTCCCAGCCATCTCCTGAAATCAAAGCCACCCACAATATTCTTTCGCTGGTAAGTTGCTTTGTCTTCTTTTATTGCTCAAATGACTTTTTTACCCTTTACTTATTTTATAGACCTGAGAAAAACCCCAGTCTGGAGAGAATTACAGGGATTATTTCAGCATGCTACCCAACCATCTGCCCTTTTGTGCTGATGAAAAATAATAAGATTATTTCCAAATTTATTTCTTCCATTTCAAAGATGAGAATTATCTTTTCTCCAAGAACATTCAGTAGATGATCTGATACCCACAACTTTCTTCAGCAACAGAGAAGTCTCCATGATTATGTATAGGAGGAAAAAAATGCCGTGTGGATATTGAACACTTGAAATGAAGCTAGTACAATTGAGATGAGTGGTAAATTAAAAATACACACATTTTGAATTCTTCCAATGAAAAGGAGTACCTAAATATCAAATTAATAATTTTCACATTGATGACTTTTTTATGTTATAATATTTGGGTTAAACAAAATTAGAAACATATCATTAGAACTAAGTTTATCTGCTTGGTTTTACTCTTTTTCCAATGTGGCTGCTAGAAAATTTAAAATTACATTTGTGGCTTCAATAATATTTCTATTGAACTGCACTGCTCTCAGGAAAGTCATTTTTCTATTCAACAAATTTATATTGCACACTTTACACATTCCAGGCACTATTTTAGGAGCAAGGCATAATTACCAAGTAGATTATATAGAATGTTTTTGCTATATGAAAATTATAAGTGCATATGACAGAGCTATAAAAAATAGAGCAGGTTAAGAGAATTGGGGACGCTGAGAGTTTTTCTCTTTAATGCACAGTAAAATGCAAGTGTGTATCTTTCAATGTCTGTGTAAATCCATCCATAATAATAACCCTACCCATGTTATGCTCAGGTATTTCTTATTTTAGATCCAGCCTGTTGGGATAACTTCAATTAAATGTGTCCCTTCACTTTCAGTGATTTTCCATTAGAAATAGCATGATACTTTCCCCATGTACTGTCATGCTTTTGCCTTAAATAGACGTAATTTGTAAACTCTTTGCTCAGCACCACTTTCCATCATTTTTATCTTCTGCTATTTTGAGGACTCTGTTCTATTTAAGTCATTGTTTGATTAAAGTCCTTGGGGATATGATTCAAATGATATACAGTTTGAATCTTTGCCTAAATTTTTTGTCAGCATGGCTGCTGGGTTCTACTTTGCCTACACATAGCATTCTTGGGCTTACCTCTTTTCATTCAGCAGTTCACTTTCCTCTATCTCCCAGCTTTCCCTGGTGCAGAAAAGGTCTCCAACACCAGAATAATGCTTTTCCTTTGATGAAATTTTTTTCATGAGCATTTGTGCTGTATCCTTAGATAAATTCTCGTAGTGTGTAAGACTGTTACCTAAATAAGAATAGATGTTTTTCATTACTGCTCCCATCCAGGGTGTGATTTGGATGTGCAGTTCAGGTGAACTTCAACTTAGGAAGTTGTCTTCGGTTATTATTTTGCCACCAGGTCCATTTTTTCCATATGAAATTGTCACTCCTCTTTAGCAGATGTGCAATGCCTCCTGGATAGCTCTCCATATCTATTCTGTAGCCTTGTCTTCATCATGGTTTTCATCTCTTTCATCAACACAAGTTGAAATTTTTCTTTTGCCTTGATCTTACAAACCCAATTCAGGTTTAAGCATCAGGCATTCTCTCCTTCAAATGTATCTACTGATTTTTCCTTAACCTTTTTTACAGTATAAAAAATATCCCCAAAATTATATAATTCAATGAATTTTCACAGAGGTCACACCCATGTAACCAGCACCCAGATCAAGAAACAGAACATCACGCTCCCAAAAGCTCACTCATGCCCCTCCCAGTCACTACCCACCAAGGGTGTTTACTAACTGAACTAATAACACCATCCACTGTAATCATTTTTAGGTTAAATTCTTCCTCATTAATTCCATAGAGTCTTTATTTAACTGTGTCTGAGTCTTCTCAAATATTACTTTATGTTGAGTTCTATTCTGTGTCTTTGGTTTATGGTGTGAGTCTGCAGATCTCAGCCCACTTGCAACCTCTGAGCTTTGGTTCCCATTATATTGCATCTGGTTCTGCTCACCTGGAAATAATAGTGATGTTCAATAGAATCAGAATTTAACTCAGCAGGTTTCAAACTACGTTGTGCTTTCAAAACATGTCAATTTTTGGTGAAATGCATTATTTTTATTTATTAATCCCAAACAACACCATTTTAAAAATTGAAAATAAGCAAAAATAGTATTAATCATATTATATATTTCCAAGACACACTAACTCAGGCGAAGGAAACATTTTGGCATTTGGTGTATTCATTTTGTGAAAAAATTATACATCGTAAGTTTTGGCTTTACAACTGGGATTTCAATTTGCCTGCCAGTGTTGCCTAACACTTTGCCTGAAGAAGGCAGTTCAAATGTACTTGTTAAAGAAGTTGAATAATAGCTGGTTTTGGACTATAATTTTACATATTTTTTCACTTTAGGTTGTTGTATATTCTGTGTGGAATCATAATCATTCTTACATATCATTTTACTGGGGCATAATATGTCATGTGGCTAAAACCCTAAATCCTACTTAAATGCCCCAGTATTACCCAGAAGTAAAATCACTTCTAATTTCTCATTAGCAGTGTCCTGGTGGTAAATACAATTTCACACTTTGCGTATTGGCGTAGACTACCCCAAGTGAAATTACTGATTTAAATGAGTGTCAACTCTTTTAAAACTTGTGTATATCTAAATAAATTTCTGAAGGCATTCACATCATAATTTTTCAATAGTGAAGAATGACATTGCGCAACTCATTTTATCATCTTAGAATAAATTATGAAAATTTAATTGTTTTGCAGTTTGAATAAGAAAAGCACCTCTCAATCATTTTTAAGGATCTTAAATTCAGAGTGACTTTTACCAATTCTAATGTTTTGAAATAGATATATATTTTCCTTTTGAGGGTCCTAGAAAGCCAGGAGTGAAAGATTAAAGGTAGGCAAATCAAGAGCGTTAGGTGTCATTATATCCCTTTCTTCTTTTTTGTGTGTGAGGAAGATTAGCCCTGAGCTAACATCCGATGCCAATCCTCCTCTTTTCACTGAGGAAGATTGGCCCTGGGCTAACATCCATGCCCATCGTCCTCTACTTTATACGGGATGCCGCCACAGCATGGCCTGACAAGCCATGCATTGGTCCGTGCTTGGGACCCAAACCTGCGAACCCTGGGCCACTGAAGCAGAGCACATGAACTTAACTGCTACACCACCAGGCCAGCCCCCATTTCTTCTTTTTGGGCACAAAGACTAGAGTAAAGTAATGAATTTCTCAAAGTCACAGAGACAACAAGATATAAAGCCAACTGCATACATCAATGAAATGCTCAGTTTCTAATCACACTAGAGCATAAGAGTTTAAAAGTGCTTGGGGGATTCTGGGAAGATGGTGTCATAGGAGGACTCTGAACTCACCTCCTCCCGCAGACACAATAAATCTATAACTACTTGTGGAAAAATTTGTCCTGAGAGAGATCTGGAAACTGAATAAAAAGAACCCCTACAACAAGTGACAACCTAACAGGGGTGGAAGAGGCAGAAATATACCTCTGCTGAGGAAAGAAAAACTACGTGCTAGCCACAGTGCTTCATGGCCAGGAGCAATCTTAAATACAAAGCTTTCCCAGAGGAAAGGGGGATCTGAGCAGGGGATCCATGCCACAATAGGCATCCCAGCCTTTGGATTCAGCACAACTGAGATAAGATCCCAAAATGCCTAGGTTTGCTGGCTTTGAAAACCAATGGGGAATACCCCCAGAAAAACTATCAAACTTCACAAAAAGAAAAACTTGCTCTTAAAGGGCCCACGCAGACATTCACCCAGTCCAGAAACCAACAGAACACAAGAAAAGACCATAGACCATTGGTAAAAAAGACTCACTTACTAAGCTCTGAGTGCATCTCAGAGACAGGAGGTGGCTGGACCCACCCTCCCAGGGAATGAGACACTGGCATCAGCTGTTATTGCGACCTAAGTCAGTGGTGCTGATACAGACACTGGTAGACACCATTGGATTCCTTCCTCTAGCCTGTTAGTTCAGGGTTTTGCCCAGCCCACTAGAGCACTGATACAATCAAGCACAGCTATGGCAGGCAGCCTGTCTGAGGGACTGGCCCTCTCCTCCAGCAAGCCCAAGGAAAACTTGTAGGCCCGAGCAGCTGGGGTGTGTGGGACTTCTGCAGCAAGGCATGTGCATCAACCTTGGCGGGGCATGCAAGTGGGGTGGGCCTGCGTTGGTGGGATGTGTGGGTCCATGTTTGCTGGGACATGTTGGCTGTGGCTGACTTGTGCCACTGACCAATGCAAACAGCCACATAAAGGATATGACCTGCCTTCTGGTGCTGCCATGCCTGGGGCTGGCCCCACCCATCAGTACTCGTAAGAGAGCTGACAATAGCTGCACATAGCAGAGAGCTGTATCAGAGGCCTGCAGCAATTCTGAACCCCTGAGCCAAGCAACAAGCCACATTGGGGGCCAGACTCACTAACAAAGAAGCAACAGGAATTGTGGGCTATTAGACCTTACAGCCAGCAGGGCTTGCCAGGGCTTGCCCAACCTAATAAAGTGATCATAGCAGCCACACATGGCTGAGCCCTCTCACCGGCTGGCCTGGGGGCCAGAATAGCCTACACATGTGCCCACAGCAAGAACAACCCCGACACAACAGAAGGGTACAATGAGCCCACACAGGGGACACTCCTGGAACATGTGGGGCAAGAAGATGAGAAGGAAAGACATTGCTGGGCCCCATAAGGCATCTCTTACATAAGGCCACATTTCCAGAATTGGGAGATGCAGCTGACCTACCTAATACATAGATATAAGCACAAAGAAGTAGGTCAAATGAGAAGTCAGAGGTGTGTGTTCTAAGTAAGGCAACAGGACAAATCATCCAAAATGGAACTAAGTGAAACAGAGATATAGATTCTACCTGGTAAAGAGTACAAACTAATAGTCATAAGGATGCTCACTGATCTCGGGAGAGGAATAGATGGACACAGTGAGAAACTTCAACAAAGAACTGGAAAATATATAAATTAGCAATCAGAACTAAAGAATACAATAATGGAGGGCCGGCCCTGTGGCTTGGTGGTTAAGTGCGCGCGCTGCGATGCTGGTGGCCCGGGTTCGGATCCCGGGTGCGCATCGAGGCACCACTTCTCCGTTCATCCTGAGGC